TGCGATCTGTTTATCGCGAACGTTATTACCACTGTAGCCAACTATTGAAAAACGGCGGAAGCAAAGTTATACACCTTGTATATATACAAAAAGGATTTCTGATCCCCCAATGTAGATTAATTTATTGAGGATTTTGCGGATATTGTTACATGACGATTGCAACTCAGCCGCCAGGACTGTCCTTCTGCTGCTCCTGAGCACAAGCACTTTATGGTGATTGGGTGAATTTTTTAGCTACAATTCTGGAAGTGAGAGACATATTTGTACACTTTGCAATTCGAAAGTTTTGCTGTTTCATCAGCCAGAGGCACCACAAGATGGGTTAATATTATCTGTGGGCGATTTACAAGGTCCTGCTGGATCCTTTTAAACTGATATATTCTTAGTGTGCACTTATTAAACGTCAGCAGCTATTTTACCATCCCAGTTAGCTCATTTCCTTCCCGATTAATTTGTTTTTCCTTTCCTAAAACTCGTGAGACGATTGTTGACAGGTTAAATTTAAACGCGCATGATTTAATTATGAAAGTTTGCCGGATTTTGAAAGAGATGAATTATTTACCAATTCTGTGAGTTGAACTCCTCGCAAGCTTCTGAGCTCTCCACGCAGATTAGGCACTGCATTTCTCAGGAAAATGCTATGCTTTTACTGTGTTGTCAGTCACGGTCATATGTATTCGACCATAATTACACGCGTTTTTGCCGCCCAATCACTGCCACATCCTGGGATATATTAAGTGAAAGCAACTAATCTTTTGAAATTCAAGTCGGCAAATCATCAGTGACGCATCTTTGTGGAATCAATTGTACCTTTCCGGAGGTTTCTTTTGTTTTCAGGTTCTATTCTTGGGTTTGCATGACTGGAAAGTTTTAATTGAATTCTAAGCATAAGTCAATAAAGTATCATTACTAAAGCTGGAAGTACGTGAAGATGGAGACATATCGCAATTTGTTTGAACTGTGATGCATTTTTTAGAGATTCGTATTTATTTATTGTGTTTTGCGAAAATGACTGCTCTTGGGACTTTCGTTCTCATTTTAGGAAAGCTTATAATGGAAGTCAAAGAACTTACGCCGGCCGTTAAACTCTCTGTGACACAGGTTTCGTGTTCTGATCCCTCATGCGAGTCACCAGCATTTGTTTCATAACCGTTATTCGCGGGTACAGTTTTTCTTGGTTGTCGCGCTCTATGCTTTCTTGTATCTTCTCTATCGAATACTTAGCTGCTTTTACTAAAACTTCATTCAATTAGCATAGCGGATATTAACGGATTTCAGTTGTTAATTCATCACGTCGTGGCTGTCATTTCAACCACTTACTATCAGCATTTCTTGTCTCTACTTTTCGTTTCGTGTCGTGATATTCCCACAAATGTTTTGGAAGTCTCTGGAGACATTTGTGATTATGTGACAATGAAATGTTACAGGTATAAATTTTTTTTTTAATTGCTAGACAAATCATGGTGTGTTATGACCTTGAAGCGACCGTAGTGCACTCAATGGGAATTGTTAGCGCCATACTTTTCAAGGCGGAACGTCTAAATTAGCTAAGTGGGTAAAAGGATACTAATTACGTTTCCTGTGGCTATAAGAATACGCCCGCACTCACAGCTCTCTATCAAGTCTTTCGTACCGGGAGAGGTTGCTCAGGGCATCAACTGATGTCACTGCAGTGTCTCTGACCGGGTGGTCCTAGGTTCGAGTCCCGATGGTGGCAGGATTTTCGAATTTAGCTAAATAGCTAGGTCGAGTTCTGTCGTTGTCTGGAGGATCAGTCTAGGGGTCAGCTGCTCTGATCAGTTTTCCGTGGTTCCTCCGATCAGTACCAGGCGAATCCTGGAGCTGTACCCTTACAAACGGGCCACAGACCGCGTGCACTCTTTCCTTCCAATTTCTTGTATCCTACACCTACTTACACACTCTTACACTTATGTCCACTACACTACCGCATATGGCGGGTCGGGGGCTTAGAGCTTGTCCCGTATCCCCCGCTAGTGGGAGATACCTGCTTGGGAAAATCCTCGCTAGTCGACGTGTAAATGGACGCGGTATCTCACCTTCTAGCGTGGGCCGTCACATCTCTAAGCGGGAAATATGCAATACACTCACGGAACTAATGACCTTAGCGCCCGGAATCACTAATCAATCGTTAAAAAAACATTCTTTCGTTTAAGAATCGTTGGATGAGTTGATTAAAAATGAAAGCGTGTTTTCCCCGCAGGGCCACCTGCTGCAGCACCTGCGCACGCACCTGCGCGAGAAGCCGCACCGCTGTGACGAGTGCGGCGCGGCGTTCGCGCAGAAGTCGCAGCTGACGGTGCACGCGCGCACGCACTCGGGCGAGCGGCCGTACCGCTGCCGCGTGTGCCGGCGCGCCTTCGCGCACTCCACGGCGCTCAAGATGCACGTGCGCCGCCACACGGGCGAGAAGCCCTTCAAGTGCCTGCTGTGCCCGGCGCCCGGCGCCGCCTTCGTGCAGCTGCCGCACCTCAAGAAGCACATGCTGTGCATCCACAAGACGGCCAAGCCCTACCTGTGCGTGCGCTGCCGCGACTTCTTCAAGACCAAGGCCGAGCTGGAGGCGCACCCGTGCTCCGCGCCGCCCGTCGCGGACGACGCGGACGACCCCGACGACCCCAAGGCCGTCGTCTCGGACGCCGCCGAGGTAAGGCGCCCGCCTGCGCCCGCCTGCGCCCGCCCGCGCCCGCCCGCGCCGCCAAAGGCGTGGAGTAATCGTGTCTTGCTGGTGATTTTTATAGAACCATTTATTTAGTCGTACTCTTGACGTAAATCAGCTGTTGCGATTTCATTCAAGCAGGGAGTTTATATGTCGCTATAGTGGCCTCGTCACTAAGAGGACGTTCAAGCTCCGGATTGGATGGAACCGTGAACAGCTGATTTACGTCAAGTGCACGATTAAATAAATCCTAATATAGATAAGGCTCATTAAATCCTTTGAGTGGTTTATAAATTCGTTGCACATGATTTGTTCGTTATTAATGAATTCAGTAATTACCATAGCAAAATATTTAAATTGATTATTGCATAAAATGTGACTTTTACCTTGGATGTATTCTTTAACCCACCGTTACAGGACAGTTCTTATTACAGTGTTAAATGTAATGTGCTAGTGACCTCAATAGGGCATGTTTACATTAAATTGTGTTTAGGTGCTCGTTTCTGTTCGTTGGCCTGGGTGAGAGGTTCGTTTTAGAAAAGGGTTGTTCTGGAGTAACAGACGCGACCAGCGGTGTAACAAAGGGATACTACCCCCTCATAATAAATAATGATATGCAAATTATATAGACATTTGCATAGCTTTTCATACGTTTATTTGTTAAGAAAATAATGCGTTCGGATAAATTTGTAACTGTTGGAGTGAAAATCCGGTGTGGGAGTAACCCAGAGTCAGAATTACTCAGTGTTCGGTGTCCTCTGGCGGCAGTGCCAAACGCTTTCGCCGTGCGTGTGTGTGTGTGTGTGTGTGTGTGTGCGTGTGCGTGTGCGTGTGCGTGTGCGTGTGCGTGTGCGTGTGCGTGTGCGTGCGCGTGCGCGTGCGCGTGCGTGCGCGTGCGTGCGCGTGCGTGCGCGTGCGTGCGCGTGCGTGCGTGCGCGTGCGTGCGCGTGCGTGCGCGTGTGTGCGTGTGTGTGCGCGCGTGCGTGTGTGTGTGTGCGCGCGTGCGTGCGCGTGTGTGCGTGCGCGCGCGTGCGTGTGTGTGTGTGTGCGCGCGTGCGTGTGTGTGTGTGTGTGTGTGTGCGCGCGTGCGTGTGTGTGTGTGTGTGTGTGCGCGCGTGCGTGTTTGAGTGTGTGTGTGTGTGTAGGTACGTGGTAGGTTCCAAAAGGTTTCTGGCCTCACTAAATTCTATTTTGATACAAGGAAAAAAAACTCGAACCCACTTTTCACATCTCTATATAAACACTTCAGGCGTTTGAAAAAATGCTCCCAAATTTTGTTCGCAAAATTATCGAAAACTGCTTCTTTCACCACATACTCGCCTGAAACTTTACTTCGAAGGTTTTTCTTCAGTTTCGATAAGCGGTAGACGTCGCTGGATGCCCAATCGCGATTGTAGTTTGGATGGTGGAACTCCTTCAAGCCATAGTCCGTCAGATCATCAATATTACAATATTTGCAATCTGAGTAGTAAACACCGGTGCGTTGTCGTAAAGAAGCCTAACACCATGCAATTTCACGCATCGCCTCCAATTCGAGAACCTCTCTCCTAAAAATGAACGAGTTGTCGGCTGCAAACTTATATCATTGCAACAAAGATAAGACTGTGGTCTGCTCAGAAGGTTTTCGCATAGATGAGCGTTACCTTGGTCAGGCCACAAACGTACGGAATTACGTATGTGTGTGGCCATGTTTGCGCTTCCGCACGCTCGTGTGTGGCATGTATGTCTGAAAGAGTAAAGGGTCATTCACATTGCAAATACAAATATAAGCATAACGCATAGACTTAAACATTAAGATAAGTGATAGACTGAAGTATTCACAATATCTAACATAAACGTAAACAAAATAAGAGTTTCTCTTGGCTGTGAGACATTCTAATTTACTTTTGGTTGCATGTGAAAATCGAGTTTGGGATATCTGGCCCATGGTACATGTCGTTAGTTCGTCTATCGACTTCGATCCTATTTCGATACTCGATTTTGAGTTATGCGTAAGCACAGAAGCTTGGAGCTTGCAAGAATTTAAGTTAACTTCTTACGTGTTATGCTAGGCATTGTGAACGAGTTCTCTTATGGACATGGCTTCTGTTTATGTATGCATTGTGAATGGGCCTTAAGAGAGAGCGCCGGGCGTGTGCGCAGGGCAAAGGCTCCGCGACGGACGAGGAGTCGCGGCCGCCCGGCATGCCCCTGGAGCGCATGCGCCTGCTGCTGGCCGTGCTGCTGAAGCGCATCTCGACGCCGCAGCGCCTGGACGCCCTGCGCTTCGGCCGGCGCCTCATCGACGACGTGCTGTGCGACAGCATCGAGGGCTCGGGCCGCGCGCCGTGCGCCGACGCGCGCCTGGCGCCGGCCGAGCGCCTGCGCCGCAACGTGCAGATCCTGCTGGACTGGACGGTGCCCAAGCACTACATGGACAAGTTCCGGCGCGAGCGC